AATCTAGTAGATATAAGAGCAATAGATAATTTAGTTCATATTGTATAATTCCAAGATTTGGTAAAAATAATAAATATTTATTTTAATATAATTATTATTACTTTAAAGATTTTTAAATTTCTTTGAAATAAAAATTTCCAGAGTTTATTATTTTAAAAAATTTTATATTAAAAATTTTTAAAAACCTTTGGAAATTTTCAAAAAATTTTTTTGGATGAAGATCTTTGAAAATCTCTATTAAAAAAATTTCCTGATATATATTTATTATTTACTTTTTACTATTACTTAATATAATTTATTATACTTTCAAAAATATAAAACTTTTTTTCAAAAAAATTTTCACAAAAAAACTGTAATTAGTTTACTTTTGTTAATTAATTAATATCTAAAAATTAACTAATCAAATATTATCAATTATTTAAACAAATCCATACTACTAAAATACTACATATTGATTAATATAAACAAAACTTTTTTCAATAATAATCATTAAAACAAAATCATATTATTAATAAACAAATCAATTAGCAAACAAATCAATTATTAATTGTATTAACAAGATAACAATACAATTATCAAAGAAATATATTATCAATACTACTGTATACTTTGAATAGTAATCTGATTATTTGTGATAAGTATATATGTATATACTATACTTCAATTAAATAGAACTATTAATATGATACACTTTTCCAAAGTATTCTTAGCTTTACAATTAGTTTTTTTATATCTATTTTTTTGTATATTATTTTATTTATTATAGTCTTTTTACACATAAATCTGAGTAGATATTTATAGCTACTTAATACTATCTTTTAGGATTCTGAAAAAGTACTGAACTGGTATCAAACTGGTATCGAAATGGTACTGATCTATAGTAAATTTAATATATAGGTTGTGACCTACTCATATGTTGTTATAATAAATTTAAGTATCAAACTGGTATTGAAGTGGTATCAAAATAGTATCATTAGGAGCTCTATTATCTTTAATAATATATTGATTTAAATATTTTTTTTTCTTTGTAACTTAGATAATTTACTATAGACAAACTAGTATTAAACTCACTGATCAACTAGTCACATGAGAAATGTTGTTACTTTTTTCATATATAAATTTTTTCAATTTTACAATTATAATAAAATAATGATATTTATCTACTTAAAAATATATATATATATATTTGCAAAATTATATAGTTTAATTTTAGTATAATATTATTATGTATATTGTATTGCTGTTATTTAAAAGATTAAGACTTGCAATATAATTAGAAGCAAAAAAATTTTATTTATTTATTTTATATTTAATTTTTTTTCTATAGTTTTCATTCATAATTTATATATAAAATTTATAATGTTTTGTTTTTGACTTTAAATTAATATTTTAAAAAATTATTTTTAATATTTGATCAATCTGATCACATGATTGTTTTAGATAATTGTTTATACGTAGGTAAATGAAAAGTCTTTATTTTTCACGGATTGCGTTATAAATGTCTTTAACAGGGATAAGTGATCAGTACTTGGTTACCTTGGCTACTTTTCTGAGGCAGACGCTCGATCCTGCCACGAGACAACAAGGTAAAACAACATTTATAAAATACACTTCTCATTCAGTAAGATAACAATTTTTGCAATGTTTTTCTTTGAAATTTCTTTTTTATAGCTGAAAGAGAACTTTTTACTGCGGAAGCTGAGCAACAAGATTTTCCGATAGCAATTTTGCAGTTGATCACTAAAGATGACATAGATCCAAGTGTTCGTTTTGCTGCATCCTTAGTTTTCAAAAATTATGTGAAAAGGAATTGGTTAGAGGTGATACACACAGCATTTTATGACGCGTTTCTAAAATGTGGTTTTTTTTTATTATAAAAATGTGATTAAAACAACTTATTTTTGGAGCAGGAAGACGGACAGAAAATCCATACGCAAATTCGACTTGCTATTAAAGAATGCATTATCGACATTTTAGTAACTGTTCCTTCACACGTGCAACTTCAACTCGGTGAAGCAGTCACTGTGATCGCAAGTAATGACTTTCCAATGCAATGGCAAAGCTTAATACAGGTAACTTCACGCACTATCAGAATTTGTCAATCTTATCCATTTAGCGACTTGTCTTAACGTTCTCGCATATAGCAATTGGTTAGTAAACTTGATCCGGAAGATTATATCCGCAATAATGGCGTTTTACAAACTGCACACTCTATATTTAAGAGGTTTGTTGTCTAGATGTTTTAGAAAATTATTATTCACAACAATCTCATACTTAATTTTTTATAAAGATGGAGACATGAATTCCGGTCGGATCCTTTGTTCGCAGAGATTAACTTTGTCCTGGAGCAATTCTGTTCACCATTTTTTCGGTTATTACAAGTATAATAATAAATTATTAAAAAATCACCATCATTGTTTTCTACAAGTGAAGATCGACCACATTAAACCGAAAATTTATTCCAGAACACAGATGCAAAGATCGTTGAATATTCACAAGACAAAGCGCGTCTACAAGTATACGCACAAACATTGCTTCTATTAATGAAATTGTTTTACGACCTTAATTGCCAAGATATCCCCCCATTTTTCGAAGACAATATAGATCCGTGTATGACTATGTTGCATAATTATATTACATATTCTAATCCCTTATTAGAATCTGAGGTGGTATTTTTATTATTACGATGTACTAAATGTGATTTAATCATGATTAACATTTATAGGAAATTTTATGATTTAATAGAGCGATGATGAAGCAGGACCACTGGAGAAAATTAAATCTTCAATTTGTGAAATAGTGACATTATACACTATGAAATACGAAGAATTTTTTACACAATTGCCTCAATTTGTTCAGACGATATGGGCCTTGCTCACAACAACGGGTTTAGAATCGAAATATGATCTGGTTAGTAAATAAGATATACACTTTTTTGTGGTCTTAATAATATTTAATAATTATCGACTTGTTTTGTCCGTCAAAGCTCGTTAGTAAGGCTATGGATTTCTTGTCTACGGTAGTCAAATTGGAAAGATATCATAATCTTTTCAACAATGAAACTACGCTCAGACAATTATGTGAAAATATCGTGCTTCCAAACATGTATCTGCGAAGTAAGTTATGTCTTTTATGTAAAATGTCGTAACGTCATATTTATGTTTCAAGCTTACCCTCAATGTAGGCGTAGACGAAGAATTATTTGAATGCGATCCGATTGAGTATATTAGGAGAGATTTGGAAGGATCAGGTGAGATTAAGAAAAAATTTCATTTTTAACACAAGTGTTGCTCAGTGATATTTTTTTTATTTTTAGATAGTGACACTCGTAGACGAGCTGCTTCTGACTTCGTACGGAGTATGATGACTCACTTTATGGCGGACATTACACGTATTATTGGATCGTATATTACACAATATCTTATGGTAAATATTAAGACATGCATTATTATGGTAAATCATTTCCTAATCATATGGCAAATCTCACAGCGTTACAGCGAAAGTCCAAGTAATTGGAAAGATAAGGATGCTGCGATATATCTTTTGACTTCCATAGCGACCCCAGGAACCGCAACGAAGGTAACGCAAGTGTGCCATAACATAAAATCCTTAATGATATTTTGAAGCAAATATTTCTGACTCGAATCGTTCTATATGGTTATAAGCACGGCCTCACTGTAGTTAATGACTTAGTAGATGTTGTTGAGTGGTTTTCGACAAATATCTTACCTGACTTGCAAACACCCATCGATAGCGGTCAACCAGTATTAAAGGTTGATGCCATTAAATATTTGTATACTTTTCGAAATCAGGTATAGAAAGATCCAATTCTTATATAAGTGGTCATTAATGAGATGTAACTTACATGTTTACTGTTTTTATAAATAAAATAGATGACCAAAGATCGATTAATCACAGTGTTCCCGTTACTTGTTAAACATCTTTCATCTCAAAATTACGTTGTTCATACGTATGCTGCGATTGCCATTGAACGAATTCTATTTATGCGAAAAGATAATGTCATGGTGTAAGGCGAGCCTTTATCTTATTTAAATGATTTAATAAGAACATTATTTGCTGTTTTGATCTCATCTAAAATTCATCATATTAATAGATTCAACAAGACCGATATTAAACCTTTTACACAAGATCTTCTTGTTAGCTTATTTAGATTGATCGAGGCTGGGTCAACTCCAGAAACTTTGGCAGAAAACGATTATTTAATGAAAGGTACATTCCTTCCAAACATTCGTTCTAAGTTATAAATTAATTAATAAATTATATTGTATTTATTCCTTAGCCGTTATGAGAGTTATTTTTACGGCTCGTGAAGATATGGTTCCATATGTTGCAGATATTATGGACCATCTAAATAAAATATTAGGTGAAATCAGCAAAAATCCTAGTAATCCACGTTTCAATCATTACGTTTTTGAATCAATTGGTGCATTAGTGAGGTGTGTATATAGATCTTTTTCATTTTTATTACATTATACTTGCATACTATTTACGTACATGTGTTCCTTTGCCTCTTAGGTTTATTTGTTCCAACAATCCAGCTGCATTGCAAGATTTCGAAGGTATATTACTTGGACCATTTCAGGCTATCTTACAGCAGGATGTTGTTGGTATGTATTTCGGTTTTATTACATTAATTCCAAATTTGATGCATACTATCAGGCGTATAACATTATCAAACCTCCCGTCAGAATTTGTTCCGTATGTGTTTCAAATATTTTCACAGCTCCTTGAATTTCACCAAGAAACGCAGTTGCCAGATATATATAAAAGCCTCCTACCAGCTCTATTATTACCTAATCTTTGGGAGTCTTCTGGTAAGAACTTTTTTAATCTGTTTGTCACAAATTAGGGTGCTTATTCTTTGTGTTCATCCTTAACAGGCAATGTACCTGCCCTGGTTAGGATGCTTCATGCATATATATACCGTGATTCCAGTGGCATCATTGCGAATAAACAATTAGAACCAATTCTAGGAATCTTTCAGAAATTAATTGCATCGAAAGCCAACGACAAATATGGACTTGAATTATTATGCACTATTGTTCAATACGTGCCAACGTGAGTTCAATACTTTTAGTTTTCTTGAGTAGTTCCATTGTTATAACATAGCATCAACAACCTTTTAGTGAGACACTCAATCAGTACATTGGAGCTATCATATCATTACTGCTGAGAAGATTGCAAAGCAGTAAGACTGAGAAATTCACATTGGGTTTTGTGAATTTTGTTTGTTTCTTCATTGCAATAAATTTGCACAGCGGTCCGGACTATGTTATACAGGCTTTTGATTCTATCCAAGAGAAGTGTGTATTGTTGAAATCGAGTCATTTTTAGAGATTTAGTTTCCCACATATAATTCTATCATATAACGATTTTCTAGATTGTTCTTGGAGGTTTTAAATGCTTTTATCATTCCAGATTTGCAAAAGGTTCAAGGTTATACAGATCGAAAGGTTTGTTCTGTAGCTATGACACGTCTATTGACGCAGAGTAACTTGATTCTATCAGAACAGTACATCAATATATGGTAACTTATACAATTTATGAAAAGCACTGTCCTATTTGTTTCTTAAAATAAATGTTCTTTAATTCACAAATAAATTTAGGCCAGTCGTTCTCGCGGCGTTAATCAAATTATTTGAAGCACCAACTGAAATTGAAAATTATGATGCGGTTGACGAATTGCTTAATTTTGATTTCGAAGAAGATAGACAGTTTCAAGCATCATTTTCTAAATTAACTACAACCAGCAAACCCCGCAGTGATCCGACTGCGTCCATCTCGGAACCAAAAATATACTTGGCCCAAGAGCTCCAGAGATTAAGTCAGGCTCACCCTGATGGAAAGGTAATCAGTTCAAATCCCATATTTATATGCCGTTGAAGTGATGCAATGAATTCACCTACTCTATAATCAACTTTTCATCTCTTAAGATTACCGAGATGATACAATCACGACTTCCACAAGAGTGCACGCCTCACCTATTCCAATATATGGCTTTAGCAAATCAGGTCCATGCAAGCGAGTAAATGAAAAGAGGATTCTATGATGAAATATTTCGTAGATGCTTGACTTATTTGGTTGATTATTTCAATTTTCGTTATTTCATTTCACAGATTTGTACATTATATGAAACCAAAAAAAAGATTACTTTTTAAAAAATTTGTTCAAATATAGTAATATGAATTAGATAGGAAGAGTAATTTTCAAAAAAATTTTTTTTTGCGTTTTTTCCCATTGTCACATGACAAGATTTCCCGAGAATTATACAAGTGTCTTTTTAAAAAAATACATATATAAAAAGAATTGTTGCACTGAAGTTTCCCTTAATAAATAATTAGCTCCTAATTCACAATTAATTTCGAGTTTATCCAAAGGGACATATTAAGACATAAGCGTAAATGGATATCAATACACTCTCATGAAAGTAGACAATATCATTTGAGTCACATATATCCACACAAACCTTATTTTTGTTTAGAGAACTTCCTCAGAGGATACGAAAGAATCTGTGCTACCAAATGTTTTATATAAATATCTTAAGAACGAACTAATTTTCATAAAGTATGCCTGTCAAAGTTCACGAAGAAAAAGTTATCTTAGAACACCCCTCTGGTTCCTCTACTGAAGGTATGAACCTGTCACCCTGTGTCATTTAATATTCAATCTTAGGGAATTTTTTTTTTCTTCGACAGTTTACTTTTATGGAGCCACGGTAACAAGTTGGAAGTATCGAGAGAAAGAACGTTTGTTCTTGAGGTATTAAAGGAAATATATTATTCAATATAAATAAATTGTGGTCACACACATTATACGTATGTTAGCAAGGATTCGATTCTCGATGGAACGAAAGCTATACGTGGAGGAATTCCTATAGGTATATAGACTTCAATCTACTAGAACTCGTTCAAGCAGATGTAGTTTACCAAAATTATATATATGACATTAGTTTTTCCCCAATTCGCCAAGGCGTCGGATCCATCCGCCGAAACCGCCGCGCTTCCGCAGCATGGTATTGCTCGTGTTTCTAAATGGGAATGGCTAGGCATTTCGGTTGACAATGATTCTCAGATTTCCGTTAGATTTGGTACGTATCTACAAGATCATTGGTCAATTTTCACATGATAGTCTCTTCTGAAGTAAAGTTATGCTTAGGACTTACGGATACCCAAGTACCGGAAAATCTCCGCCAAAAGTGGTCCAAGAAATTCAAACTTACTTATACGGTTACTTTAACTGAGGATACCTTGAGTAATACCCTTGCAGTTAAAAATGAAGATGCTGGATCATTTGATTTTAATACGCTTTTGCATACTTATTATCTCGTTCCGGTAATACTCATTCTTTATTGATGATTTTTTTTCTGTCTTTTATTACCATAATTTTAACTATCATTCTTTTTTCTTTAACAGGACATTTCCAAGGTTTCAATCAAGGGACTCTCCAATATTACATACATTGATAAAGTCGAAAACTTTACTATGGTTCTGGATACCAATGATTCGATAAAAATAGATCGAGAAGTAGATCGAATCTATCCCAATGTTTCTCAGGATGAGATTTATATCGATTTAGGATACGGTGCTTCCGGGAATTTCATCCTGAAAAAGATTAATTTGAAAGATACAGGTATTTTATCTGCATGAATTTTTTGTTCCTAAATATAACTTTACACTAACTTGCTCCTCAGTCGTTTGGAATCCATGGGTTGATCGAGCACGCAAATTGTCCGATTTTGGAGATGAAGAGTATAAACAAATGGTTTGCGTAGAACCGGGAACCGTTTCATACATAACCTTGAATGCTGGTGAGACTTGGGAAGGTGGACAAATATTGAGTATTACTCCGTAAAAAATTTTGTAAGACGATAATTTATTAAATTATTTACTGAATCGATAATTTCATTATTTCAATATATTGTTTTATTTTGATTTCTTTACTCTTAACAATATGACAAAAGGATAATAAAAGATAAAAGAACTTTTATTTTATTTTTTTTGATTTTGAGAATAAAGAAACGTGGCCCTGGCATATATAATACAAAAGAAATTTTAAAGAATCGAAGAATAATATAGTG